TGAAAGTATCAAACTTAGTTTTGGAATAACTAAGATAATTTACTGATGATATGGCTTATCCTGCAGAATACAAAGGAAACAGAAGTTCACTATCAGGCTACAACTATACACTTCTATTCTTCCTAAAGTCAGATAATCATTTAAATTAGGGTTTAAGAAAGAGCTCTTCACCCACAATCTGTGCTTTCCTGTATGGGTATCATACACCGAAGGAATAAGATTTTAAAATCAGCATTACATCTTACTTAAAACCAGTTTTTTATCTTACTTTGAACTATGTACTTTGGCTCATCACTTTCTCTTCTAAAATTTCTAAGCTATTTTAACTGTTATTAAGAAGTCCCATCCCAATGAGTTAACATAAAACTTTTTTCTCCAGTAGTTTCCCTGGCCATGCTACCATATACTTTCCTTTAAACTTCCCTACCTATCTAGCAGTTAAGATATCCCTTAGCAATATCTTCTCAGTTTCACACTTTCACAGAAATTGTTACTAAAAAATCAGTTCATTAATGCTTTAATCACCTGCCCATTTAAACTCATTTCCTCCCATTCCCACAGAGTTCAACAGAGTTGTGCTTCAGGGACTAGGGAAGGTAAAAAGGACATTGCAGGCGAAGCTCTCAAAAAAATGTGACCTTCTCCAACTCTCATCACCCCTCAATAACACAGGATACTAACCAAAAAGCTCAGGTCTTATGCAGAACCCTCCTAAACTACAGAAGGTCATAACTATTTTTTTCTTGTGGTACTGAAGATTGAATCCAGGACCTTTGCCCTGAGAAACATCTCCAGCTCTTTTTTGAGACAGTGTCTCACTAAGTTTTAAGACATTCAGGCAGGGCTAAAACTTTTACTCTCCTAGAATGCTAAGATTACACCATGTCCTGCTGGAGAACACAACTTTTTTGTGTGTCAGCTGGAGGGATTTAGTCAGCTCTAACTACCCTTCTTTCTCGTCCCATCTTTCAATTTCTCCTTCATCTTTCCTTTGGGACATATAAGAAGTCTGTTGTCTAGCCAGGAGGTAACCATGTCTTTTTTCTTGACAGCACCCTCAATCTACATAAATGATTCTCTTGGCAGACCTTTCTCTTCCTTAGCTTGAAAGGAGAAGTGGTATCCAACTCCATCCTCCTCTACTGAGAGGGAATAAGAATTATTTCACCTGCTACCCTCCCTGTATGGTGTTTATATACAGTGTAGACTAGGTGTCTTAGTTTTCTTTTTGCTGAGACAAAATACCCAACACCCAAAGTTAGAGAAGGAAAGGTTTATTTTAGCTTAGAATGTAGAGGTTTCAGTCCATAGTCTTGTGGTAGCATGGCAGAGGAGATGCAGTTCATGCCACAAGGCAGCAAGGGACAAGCAATAAGCAGTGATCCTCTTTCTGTTCCTTGCATCTTATCCAAAATACCTACCCTTAGGTCATATCCAGGGTGGGGCATTCCTAATTCTAACAAGGTACCATGAATCAAGCCCAGCAGCACATCCTGGATCTCAGCAGTACATACCTTAGATCCCACTACCTTATAAAGCCCATGTGTAACTGCATAAGGCTTTAGGGTACAACTAGATAAAAGCCGCAACACTAAAGAAGAATCAAGATATTTGTGACAGCAGGAACTGTAATGTAGCCTTTTGGTAAACGCCATGGGGAACCATCTGTACTCTGCTACTCCCCTCCACCAACATTTTTTGTTGTTGTTGCCAGTGCTGGATATTGAACCCATGGCCTCCCACATATAGGGAAAGCACTTTGCCGGTAAACTATACCCCCAGCTGTACCACTTAAGGAATTTTATTACACTATGGGTTAGTTATCACCTCTTCATTCTCAGCTTTGCCCCCCATGGGCCACTGTAGTGTAACAGAAAAAAACTTCTCAATAACTATACTGTGAAATAATTTTAACTCTCTTTAAAAGCCTATTTCAAAGGTTATTTCCTCAACAAGTTTTTTCTAGTTTCCTAATATTCCCTCTTTTGACTATGTCACAGCAATTTTCCCATAATGGTTTGTCAATTAATATGCATTTCTATTACCACTCTCATGACATAGTATGCTATGTAGTATTTTGTCATAGCATATGGTTCTGCAGGTGACTTACATTCAAAACATTTGTTCAAATGAAAAACATAAATTTTGCAAATTTAGACATGTTTGTATAAAACAAGTTAACTGTAAATTTTAATTCTGACAAATTACTGAGCATAAAACATTAGCAAAACATGTTGTGCTTTGTCACAGTCGAGAAAAAATCTGATCTATAAAAATGCAAATACCAATATGAAACAATGAGATATACCATTTTTAAACATTTTTCTCTTATATTTGTTATAGAAGGACTGTTGGGAAAAGGTATAAAGAAAAAAGATGTCCACTGTAACAGGTAAATCATTCTAGTGTTCCTCTATGCTTATGTACATATTTGAAGAAATACTGTTTTATACTTTTCTCATTCTAGATACAATGATTATGTTCAGGGAGTCTTCTACAAACATCATATTTAGTGGTACATCTTCCCTAGTTACAAAGATGTTATAAATCTCAAATTTTTACAATCCTGGTTATGAGGCAAAATTAATTTTCATCAGAAGCTATAGTGCAGGCTGTTTCTTATGATGCTTCATGAAATACAATCCCCTACTTTATTTGCTCATCACCACAGGATTTGCATTTCTGCTTGTCTGGTCTGTAAGTGGTTCTTGCTAGGGAAAAACCAGGAAGAGGATCTCTATAGGACAGGCATCCCTGCTTCATCATTCATTATCAAAGGCTCACAGTACTCAGCTGACGTCTTAGGTGGAAAGTATAGAATGAAGACCATACAGTGGGGGTTCAGTGCAGCTTGAAGGGCTCTGAACACCAGCTACCTTAACCGGAACCTTTTCCACAACTCTTGAGTTCCGTTAAATATGCATACTGCCTCATCAAAGCCACATTAAAAAAGACACAAAAAAATTTGTGAGGCAGGTTAGACAGATAACATTTTTCTGTCCAATATCAAGCTTAAAAGCTGTCTCCCAATTTTTCAAGGTACTCTTCCCACTGTATCTCATATATATGCTCCGAGAAAAATCTGAGGTTGAAAAGTACATACCTTACAGTTCAGCTAGCCAATGACCTGACAGAGTTTAATGGTAACATCCTGACCAGAGCCTGCCTTCTCACCAGTGAAACCACTTGGCTCCCTTTCCAACCACATACATATACTCCTGAAAGCTCCTTATTCATCAAGCATGGGACTTTGTCTAGTTCAACAGCATACCATTAACTTAAAAACAAACAAAAAACCCCCCCCCAACTTTCCTATAAACTACAAAGATTTCCAGCATGTGTGAAGCAACCCAGTGAGATAGAAGTCAGTTTTGACTGTCTTTCCAGGGAGGACACTAAGGATCACCTCAGCAACCTAGACAAGCTAAGCATACGTTCTATCACTGAGCTACAAACATCCCCAGCCCAATTGTCATTTTTATTGGAATGTAATCTATGCAATTTCCTCAGGGGATAAAAACAGAATAAAAATAGAACATGTATTAGAACAAAGAAGACTCCTTGGGGCTGGAGAGATGGCTCAGTGGTCTAAAGCACCTATTTGGAACAAGCTAAGCTAAGCAAAGCACAGGGACCGCGGTTCGATCCCCCAGCACCACATGCCAGCCAGCCCCGTCCCCTGGTGGGCTGAGCTGGCCACACACACACACACACACACACACACACACTAAATAAATGTTTAAAAAAATTTTTTTTTTTTTAAAAAAAGACTCCTTGAAGGTGTTTTTTGTTTGTTTGTTTGTTTGTTTGTTTGCAGGGGGGTGGTTAATTTGTATTGAGTCAAGGCCTATGTAGTGCAGGCTAGCCCTGAACTTGCTTAGGTAGCTCAGGATGAACTCAAACTCACAGTGATCTGCCTTAGCCTCCCTAGCCTCCCAACTGCTGGGGATTGTAGCTGTGTGCTACCATGCCTGGTGACTCCTTAAAGTTTTAACACAGCAAAAGCTAATGTATAGTCATCTATAATTAAAATGTTATATATACTTTTTTCCTGAAAGTTGTAAGACACAAGCCCCTGCCCTCTCAAATATGTCCTCTAATTTTACAGATGCTGCAAATCTTAAGTCTCTCCCCCAAACGCTTAACTACTTAAATTCTCATATACTCCTGCATCTTCACTGGAATTATTTCTAAGACCAAGATGAAAAATAAATCAGAAATTTATAATTAAAGAACAGTATTCTGAGAAGCCCTGTTGTAGCCAAATTTTTCCAAACTTTTTAATTTTTAAAAATTAATTTAAAAAATTAAAAATGTACTCTTTCATCTAAAGCATTCTTAAAACATGTTGTAGCAACCACAAAGGATTATGAAATCTGTTAGGATATGCACACCTCACTGGGAAGAGTCATCTTCAGGAGACGCTGGTACCACTCCAATCTATGGATTATCCTACATACTCTTTAAAAAAGTCTGCTCATGTTGAAAAGTTGTTAGAACAGGCAAAAGGTGCACTATCCCATACACTAGTCACATGTGGCTGCTAAGCATATGAAATACATCTAGTTCATACTGAAATATTAAGTAAAAAACACACTGGATGATTCCGAAGCCTTAGTACTAATAATCATTTTTATGTCAATGACATGGCAATATTTTATATATAGTGGGCTGAATATTAGATTTATTTTATCTGTTACTTTTTACTTTTTTCAGGTAGTTAATAACATCTATAATATAATTTTATCATACTTTTATATACACTCATTACTTTTGCCTATACCTTCTTACCCAATATTCCTATATATCATAAATAGATTTCTATATTATAATCATATTCATTCTTCACTCAGAGGAATCTAATTCACAAAACAAGTCATAAAAGGCAGAAGTGCTGCCATTTTCCACAGGCTTCCCAAGGAGCATTTCCTAAAGGCACTGCTTAGAAGAGAAGTTCTACACACAAGCTTAGTGCATCCAAAGTTCCAAATTTAAATCACCTGGTAAATGATCATGCATTCCTCGATTTACCGGTGTAGTACAGACTCTACTGAAATCCAGAGAATTGTCCAATATGGCATTTATCCTTCGAAAGATACTGGAGTTGCTACATGTGGAGAGTGCAGGAACTTCCTGATTGTCCCAGCAATCTTTTATCCTTCCTGTTTCTTCTTCCTAGAGACAGAAAAAAACATACTTTGGCCTTCCATATTCTTCTAAACACATAGATCTTTTATAATACCATGAGTTAAAGTAACAAGGCCCTGAATTTCTTTTTAGACCCTGAGTTTCCTGACAATATATTAAAAAACCAAGAGTGTTTTCTTTTATGAACAAAGCACTCAGAGAACTCCTAAAAGTACCAACCAAAATACAAAGATATATCCTCAAGAACTTCTTAATGAAACACTGGAATTAGCATGATGTGGTAGCAGCAGCATAAGCTACAGAATCAGGAAGACATGGTTAAAATTTTGAGGGATAACCATACCCTGGAATACTTCTTGGCATAAAGGTATGTAGAACTGAAACATACTACAAAATGGGGGGGGGGATCTCAAAAGTATGCTAAGTGAAAGAATCCAGTACCAAAAGACTTACTACGTATAAGAACACATTTATATGAAATAACTAGAATAAGAAATATAAAGATCATCTGTCCAGAGCTGGCAGGGGAGGTGGCTAATGGATACAAAGTTTATTCTGAGTTGATGGAAGAGTCTAAAATTAATTAGGATGCATTAATTAGGTTGCATAGTTTGTTCAGAAGCGTACTAAAAAACTGAAATTATATATTGAAAGGTGAAAACTTTGTTATCTCAATACAGCACTTTGAAATCTTTGGTTCTACCATTTATTGGCCGTGTGATGTTAGTTACCTAGGCCTTGCACCTCTCAAGGTTTCACCACCTATGAGATGAGAAAAAGTACCCAACAAACTTTTTGATGAGACGTATAAAACATTCAGTATGGTGGCATAGCAAATAGCTGTTTTTACATTGTAAGATTAAAAAAAAAAAAAAGGTAAACAACAAAAACTGTCCAAAAGGAATGTGGACATTAAAAGTACACACTACTTTATTAGTATGAGAAAATAATAAACACCACTGAATGAAAAAAATAAAGCACTCTTTTGAACAGAATAATGAACTGAACACTTCACAAAAACTATTGGTGGTCTCTATTTTAGCAAATAACATCACCATCTACCAGGTATACAAGAAAGAAATCCAAGTACCATTTATCACTGTTTTTCTTTCTCTTTTGGCACTACAGGAGGTTGAATTGAAGGCGTTTTCACTGAGCTACATTTCCAGTCCTTTACGGGTTTTTTTTTTTTTTTAATTTTGGAGATGGTCTCAGTAAGTCACTAAGCTGCCCAAGCAGAGCTTGAACTCTTGATGCTCCTGCCTCAGCCTCACAGTGCTGAGACTATAGGCATCTACCACCATGCCAAGCTCCATTCTTTACTCTCTTCTCTCCCTTATCTTCTATATCAAGTGCCTGATATGTCAGCAATAAAATGTATTTTAAGGAGAATCTGCTTTACTGGTTCTATCATTCCCAATTATTTTGGGAAAAACAAAAAGCAGACCAAGCAAGGAAATCGGTACATACTTACCATCTTACAGCAGATCTCATGAAAATAAAACAAAAGCCTGTCATTCTGTATAGCCTATTAAAAATCTAGGTGAGCAACAGAATGAACCACTGCATTCAGTTTTAAAAACTGCAGGATGGCCTTACAGGGACAGACTTGAATTCCATTTTAGCCTCAATGCCTTGAAAAGACTGGTATCTTCTGCAAGCTGCAAGGACAACCAGAATACAGTTATTTTCCTAAACCTAAATGGTGACACTCAGTCTTTTTTACTGTTAATTGTTCAATGTTAGTTCAACATTTCTTAGATAACTCAAACTTTCACTAAAGTAACTTCATAAAGGCTAAGATGCAAGCATTTACAATATGCTGCTCTTAAGGCTCAATGTTTCATTCATTCACTAATAAACTTTAGCTGATTACCTCCTATCTTCAGTGAACAGCACAAGAGTCTGCAGATTACACAGAGAATCAAAAGAAAGTTGTGCAATATGAACAAGGAACTAAGACTTGATCATGTTGGACAGGTCAGCACTGTCTTCTAAATCTGGTTATCAAACTTTTTAAAACGTTTAATATACAAAAATTAATTTAAATTTTATTTACTACAATAGAAATACTACATAGATGGATTACTTGATACTGGCCACATCTAACGGCAAGTAAATAACCACTGTATATGAGTCTTACAGTACAGATACTGCCAACACCTACAGGCAATGAGAGGTTAAAGGATCTGTGAGGGAATTGTCATGGTAGGCTGGGAGATACATGCAGACTTGGGAGGCCTTCTGGAAAAAAAGGTCTACAACCTTATTTCAAGCAGTCTGAAAAAAATCTAATTTAGGAACACATCTGGCCACAATGCCTCAACATTCCCAAACTGGGCAAATTGCATCTGGCATTCCTCCCTCCACTTTTCTCATGCATACCAAATTAGAGGTCTAGTTTAAGATGATTGTGTAATTAGAATAAAAAGTAAATGAAGTCTTCAATTTATACCCTAAAGTGCTTGATCTTATCAGTAAATACTAATGCTTGCCTTGAATGACCAATTTTAAAGGAAAAAAATAAGTCAGCACCCTAAAATCAAGAACAATTCTACTTTTCTTATGCATAAAGTATAACAGCAGCAACATTTTTTCATAGTAGCACTTAGGAAATAATACACATACTAGTTAGCACAGTCCATGAAACTATATACTGAATTAATGTTGTCAGTCAATACTGTTATTATTATTACACTATGGTATCATAGACTACCAAGTGATCTTTGAGGGAGAGAACATACTTGATCATGAAAGAGAAAAATGGATGAAAAACATCAAGGGCAAATATACTGAAGGCCCTAGGCCCTTATATGCCTGAGACCTCATAACTCTTCCTCTTAATCATTTGAACTAAAGATACTTAACACTCCAAAGTCTGAGACAGGAGTATCACCATGAGTTCAAGGCCAACCTGGGATACATAGTAAGATCCTATCTCAAGAAACAAACAAAACAAAAAATCAGAGAAACAAACTTAAATACTAAACACACTGATACAAACACCTTCCTAAACCCTGACTCTGCTACAGAATACATTAATCCTTTTAATCTCTCCAGTTAAATGAATTGTTTTTCATTTTTAAAACAGAAATCAGCTATCTATCCCTATAGTCATGGTCCCACTTACTTTGTATATCTTAACTTTGATCTATATTCAAACCAATGACCCACTATGAAAAAATGTAGTTTTTTTCTTGGTTATTCTATTACTGCTGATGCTATTATTTTTTGTTTATTCTGCCATAAAATTACATCATTTGCAGTTTTTGACCTTTAGTTGGTCTTTCACTGTGGACATGAAAGTAGGTTTTAAGATACTACAAAGATTTAGAGTGCAAACCTTAATATGGAAAGTCTGGGATCAGTGGGAAGAATTATTTGGCAATTCAGAAAAGAAAAGTAATTCTTTTCAAGTTTAATGCTAATGACATAGTGTAAAATGGCCTGAAGATAAAACTAGTTGTAGCTGCTTACCTGGCATTAACAGAATAACTCATAAGGAATCACTACTAATACAAGTTATTTTAGAGCAGGGCTCAATTTTATTTTTTCAACTCTCATGGCAAAACAAGTAGTTCCCTACAGCTGTGATCTTTAAATGACACATCAGAGGTGGAATGGGAAGGGGAACCTACAAATAAAGAGCCTCCCCTTTCCACAAGGAAAGGATCCTCCTCTCCAAAAATGTAAATCATTCTATCAAAAAGCAGAAAGAACACAAACTTTGGATTATAAATACTAAGTGTGTCACTTAAGTGTCATTTTAAGCTTTACTTGTCAAAGGTATAAAATATGATACTACCTACTCTGAAGACTTTGTAGTCACTAAGAACAAAGTACATGGATATGCTCAATAACTTAAGGCAACAGATGTATGATTCCATACAGGTGATAAAGCCACTGTTACTCAGAAGTATGCTTTCCAGTTATTCATCCTAGCAAGTTCACCAAAAAACAAACTTGTTTCACTATATAATGGTTCTTTTTGGTTTACATTTGTTAGGTTTTAGTATCTGTAGTTTGAAACTGTCATTCATAACTCTTTAAGATCTGAATTCACTCCACACGGGTTTGTTTTGGTTAAAAATAAGATCTTAAAATTTTATACTTATTTGTATGATGGAACAAATCTATAATTGCCTGACTTGAGAAACCCTGGACTTACTTGTAAATACTGTAACATACTCTTCAGGATCATGGTGATGAGATGGCCATGATCCCAGGCAAATCATTTGAGAATAATATTCAACTGTCATGAATGTTAATGTTACTACATCTAAGTTTTTGGGTTGCTTTTAATGAACATAGCACTATAATACAGATTCCTTCAAGACCATCACTGTTCATCATTTAGTTCAAAGTCATCTAGAGTGAGCTAAGTGGAGCAGGGAGATAGCTCAGCAGTCTAAGTACCTGCCTGGCAAGTGCAAGGACCTGGGTTCAATCCCCAGTACCACATGTCATTCCAGCACCGAAACCGGGAGTGTGGCACATGGCTGTAATCCCAGCACTGAGGAGGCTAAGACAGAAGTGCCACTACAAGTCTGAGCTGCGTAGCAAGACCCTGTACCAAACACATACATATATACACACATGCATACATAAATAATATTTTAAAAAGAGTCAGCTGAGAGATCTGTAGAAGATGGAAGGGCACACAATTCCTCCAGATGGAGTTTAAAACTGGGATTCATGGACTGAAATTAGGTTAGATTTAGATTGTTTTCAATTAAGTCAGAGCAATATAAATATAAATGATCACATAGATAAGTATCTTTTGGATAATAAATTAGGAAATACTAGCTTCCTTTGAGAAATTAGTATTATCTTTATGGAAGAATGTATATTGTCAAGCCAAATTTCCATGTTTGCTTTAAGTAACCAGGTCATTCCATGTCAAGTCTTTGGCTGCACTTTAATAACTATAGTTGTTTAAAATGCTCATCTATACGCATTTAATTTCCTCCTTGGTTCTCCACCTCAATTCTCCTACGAAACAATGTGAGGAATAAAAATATTTTAAG